CTCTCTTTGTCGTCTCAGCGGCTTCCGGTTTTCGATTTCCCCCCGATCCAGACTTCCTGGCTGTCGACAAACGTTCCCCAAATACTTTAATTACATTTGTAACGGTTGATTTGGCAACTTTTAGCGATTTTGCCAACTTTGCGTGCGAGTAGCTCGGATTTTCGCGATGCGCGAGCAAAATTTTGATACGCTGCTCTTCTTGCTTGGACGGCATTTTGACAACTGAAGAGTGAATTCCAAAATCAAAATAGGAGCAACATTCTACACACACACACCTTCAAAATGAGGGGTGTTCAGGTTTTTTAAATGCAAAATTAAAAGAAATACGTCAAGTTGATATTGACCAAATTTTGACCGTATCACCCTTTAATAAAAAGTATTTTTCAGAAAAAAAAATTATGATATTAAATAAAAATAAATTTAGCGAGGGTTCACTTTTACCCCTTACTCCCCTATAAAGTGTACCCCGTATTCCCCTAATATCTCATGGACTGTTGTTTAAAGACATAGTATTCTAAAACCATGCATAAAGTGCTTATGTTTTACGAAAAATAGAGCTGTGAAAAAACATTTCCTCCAAAAAGTAGGGGAAAATGGGACAAAATGGTCCAAAACACATACCTTCAAGGTCGATTGAGCCTGTACAAATAAAGTAATTAATAAAAAAAAAAAAACATACCTTCAAGGCTCTCCGGTCTATGAGACCACGTGCAATCGATTCCCCGGATGATTTCCCTTCGGAAAAGTTGTTTTTCATGACCGGAATTCAGCGTGCTGTTGAGATATTGAACTTTGGGTAATTTTGGACCCATTTTTGCCCATAGTTCGATGTTTGGTAGTGTAGTAATCATACGCAAATGGTCCGACAGATATAGGTACTTAAAACCAAAATTGTAGTGATGATAGATGATAGTGGTTTACCACCCATTCTAAGTCCAATAGCAGTGAGCTCTCTTTTCTGTTTGTCTTGATCAAGCTTAATAACCCCTGATTGTCCTCAATATGTCGCTGTATGACGGAAGAGATGAACTAGCCTATGGCTAAAAATCTCTATAATAAAGAAAAAAAAAAAAAGCAACATGATCGCACAATTGGTCAAAAAGACGAGCCCCCTAACAGGAAGATTTCCCAATGAGTGGGGAGAAGAGCCCGCCCTTTGTCCACGAAATTTTATCAACAGGGAATTGGCATTCCCACTCTCCCCGTCCAAATCCCTTCAATCGGGTGCCCTGTTGGACCGTCCCTTCCCTTTCGTATATGTATTCAAATGTTTATGTTATGTAAATGTTATATATAATGAATCATCACTTATGCGAGTCGATTGTTATGATTATTGTCAAAAATGCTTACATTTCGATGAAGATGATGCTACCTATTTTACCTTTTATGTGATACTTATCATCACAGAATCCAACTTTGAATCGTAGGCCAGGTTCATTAACAATACACTTATTCCGAGAAATGTCTCATGGTACCACTCATCCTGTATAGTCATCTTCTTCTTCTTCAGGTTCGCTCACCACCCAGAATGAACGCTCGGTGCGGTTTGTACACGGCGAATGAGAACGACCCAAATTTGAGTTTAGTTCACTCATAATCGCCAAAAGTGCAGGAACTCAGCGATGGGTAAATTTGCCTCATGTTTTCCCAGGTTTTTCCAGGGAAAAATTCCCGAATTTGAGAAAAGTAAAGATTAGGTTCACTCAGTCTATTCGTACTACTCCGAGACTGAATAAAATTTTCGTCAATTTCCTCATTTTCCGGCAGATTTTTTAGGTTTTCCACAGGAAACCATGAGACAAATTTTACTCATCGCTGAGTTCCTGCACTTTTGGCGATTATGAACGAACTAAGCTCAAATTTGGGTCGTTCTCATTCGCCGTGTAACAAGCTTGGGAAAATTCATTCACTCGCGCGAGCACCACAGAATCAAAATAGCCATCCTCACCTACAAACAGATTGCCGAACGAGTGTAAATTCTTCCTTGGTTGACTCTGCAGCTCGACTCAGAACTGACAGCAGTAGAAGGAAAGAAAGATAAACTGAAAGGCAGCCGACATTTTTTCTGTACCGAGGGAGAACCAGATTGAATGCTCAAGATCCGAATGCTAACGATTTAAATAGCCGAGTCATATTGTTTTTGGCTCACTGATTTAAATCAGTTGAATTGGCCACAGCAGTTTTACGGTATTTGCTTGACGCTTATGTTTATGTGTCACAGTATAACCGTTTTCTCCATATTAACAGTCAGTGTTGGCATAATCAGAAATCAATTGATATTTTTCCGCTCTTATGGGCTCGCAATATCACGCGTGATATTGGAACAAAATATCATGCTTGATATTGATTTTACAAGCTCCTTTGATATTGCGAGACTAGTCACAATGTGCAAACATCAAGCTGAGAGTTGACTCGACACAAAAATGATTCTATTGCACATCGTTTTCTTAGAAAGAGAAAGCATAGTTTGCTATCTGTTTTAATCTTTACCGATAGCAGACGCGAAGGGACTGCTGCTGCAAGCCGTCGTAATGGAAGTTTCGGTTGCATTCGGGTGTAAAACAAAAATCATTTAACTCAATCACACCACAGTTTGGTGAGATTTGAAGTTGGTAAGTTTTGTTAGCTTGATATTCCGAGCTGCGATATCACAGCTTGCAAAATCAACCGCAGTTGTTTGCTTGTTGATTTTTGTCTACGAAAATCAAGCGTGATCTTGGGCGTTGGTGAGATTTGATTTTTTTATATTTTCCCAACACTGTATAACAGCAATTTAAATGTGTCAATGTATGTTTAAAGCTAGAAAATAAAAAGTGATTCTTTCTGCAAAATTCTCATTCAGCTCACTCGGCAGAATGCAATCATAAAAAGCTCAGCATGGCAAAAATAATAAAAGAGAAATCTTCCACACTACTACACTCAGAATCATTCATGTTACGCTCAGCTGTCTGTTTTGGTCAATTCTGCAATGCGAATACGAACGAAATCAGTGCGGCTCGCACAAGTTGCTGTTCGTTTCTGATGTTGTATGCGTTTGAGTAAGTAGTAAATGCGAAATTAATCGATTTTTCCCATGCTTGGTTAGTAATATCAAATAGTAGTACATGCAAACGAAAAAGAAATACAACCAGGATTAGTTTTTTAAAGTATTAGTTTCATCTGAATACCCAACTAATCATATCGTATCTCAGTGACATTGACTCACTGTGAACCTACATTTAAAGTTATTTTGTAATTATATGGTTACTTTGACTCAAATGAAATGTTGTGCAAGTACCACAAGTTCAACAACGCCCAGCTATGGACAGCTCAATGCTTATCCATTTTACTCTTTGAATCAGCGAACACCAACATGATTATCTGCTAGGAAACACCAAAGAATATATAGAGGTAAAGCTCAAAAATATAGTTGTAACTGATAGGGGAAATGGCTCTAATGTTGGCCTATGGACCTAAGATTGGGCCCATCGCTAAAAATCTGCTATTTATCAATTTTATCTAGATGAGCGCGTCATTGGGACGGTCATTATCTTTATTTTTGGTCGCTATTGAAAATTTAATCGATTGCTGAATTTTCGTATGGGCCCAAATTAGGGGCATTTTGGCCGACATTACATCCATTTCCCCTAGTACTTTGCGGTAATGTGGGCCATCTGAATGGTTCATCGGTCCCTCAAGCTGAAGCGATACATTCCTCAATGTTTCAACTTTATTCTAAGGTAAACTTAATATTATCACCCATATGCCCGTACACACCCGAAACCCATTCCCCCACAAAATCGAATAAAAAGGTTAATGTATGGTAAACACGCCCGAACATTAACGAGAATATGGGTATACATCTTCACTATCGCAACTACGTTTTTTTAAGATTTATTATAGCGATTTTTAAAGTATCGCAACTACGGGTAATCATCGAAAGTCCTTGCATTTAACTCAGGCACTTTTGAGCCAACTGCAATCACCCTCTCATACTCGAAATGTGCCACGACCAACCTGGCACAACGATGCCCTATACGCTCTTTGATCAAAGCGCAGGGCTTAATACCAAAATTGTAGTAATCTAGAACCTGTTACATTTTATTCGTACATTACTACATTACTCGTACATTTATAACAATAGGTCTTATGTGCAATGCATTGGTCACCTCAATAATCAGAGAACCGGTTATAAAAATATTGCTTTAAGCTTTCGCAATTTGCTGGACATTCAGCTAACAATTTCACAAATCTTCAAACTTTAGAAATTGACTAATCGTAAGTCAGCAAAATGAAGAATAATTACTATGCAATCGTCAAATCAACAAATGCTATAATATTTCTTTACCGAACATCAAAACTGCGAAAGTGTGTATGCAAAAACAAAAGGTTAAATAATCACCGTCAAACATGCCACCGATTCCAAACAATATGATCGAAAAAAAAAAACAAAATTGGCGATAGAAAACAGGAACAGCATAATCATGACATTCTTCGTTTTCACTAGTAGAGGTATCTGGTTCGATCCGGTGTAAGATTACGCCCGTCATCACCCGAAAACCGGTTCTGTTTTCTGGATGCCCGGTGATCATCTTACGTCATTAGAACTTCAAATAAATAACCAGAACCATTCTACCACCTCAGAAGAATGCATGTTAGTTTCGTCAGAGAATTTTGCGTAGAGCTTATCAATAGACCTAATCCAAATTGATTGGTGAAACAAATGCTAGCGGCGGTAGTACCTACATGTATTCGTACAAATGCTCTCACGTGGTGAGTCCGCACATGTCTATTTACATGCAGTTATGTTTCTGAGAGGATTAACGTATGAAATTATGAACAAAAATATATCCATCCTGAATCGTTCCCTAATCGAATTACGACATTTTTCGGAGAGCTGGTTCAAGTATAAAAGACTTACATATCGTCAAGTTCCTTCGAGTTGTTCCTTGGTACAACATCAAACCATTGCTCTTTTGAGTAGATTTAGTGTCGCTAAAATCTATCACATCAGTTCGAAGTAGTTCGCCCTAAATAAGCGATTTTCTTCGGCTTCATTCAAGTTCAAGTGTGCTTATTGTTAGTGTGTCAATCGTGCTTCAAGGAAGAGAGTTGTCACCATGGCTGCATTCGCGGAACCTCATTTCCAGGCTTGGGTCCAAAGCGCGGTCGCCAATCTGACCGTGGTGGATAAAGTCCCAGCGGATATGCTGCACCTAGTAGATGCCCACTGGTATCAGTTCCCACCGTTAAACCCGCTATGGCACTCGATTCTCGGAATCGCCATCTTTATACTGTGCTTCATTTCCTTAGCCGGAAATGGTTGCGTAGTCTACGTCTTCACCTGCACCAGGACACTCCGAACCCCCTCCAACCTGCTAGTGGTCAATCTGGCCTTCTCGGATTTCCTGATGATGTTTACGATGGGACCGCCAATGGTGTTCAACTGTTACAACGAAACCTGGTTTCTGGGACCGTTCGCTTGCGAATTGTATGGCATGTTCGGATCATTGTTCGGTTGTGTCTCAATCTGGAGCATGACACTGATTGCCTTCGATCGTTACAATGTTATCGTCAAGGGTCTCTCGGCTAAGCCGTTGACCAACAATGGAGCTCTGCTGCAGATCCTCTTCGTGTGGGCATCTTCCCTTGCCTGGACACTCGCTCCATTATTCGGATGGAACCGATATGTCCCAGAAGGTAACATGACCGCTTGTGGAACTGATTATCTCACCGACACCTTGCTCAGCCGCTCATACATTCTGGTGTACTCGATTTTCTGTTACTTTGCACCATTGCTGTTGATCATCTACTCGTACATCTTTATCATCAAGGTAAATATTTCCCGTTATGGTTAACGTAATAAACTCTAATCAACGTCCCGTTTACCTTTCCGCATAAACAGGCCGTTTCTGCTCACGAGAAAAACATGCGCGAACAAGCCAAGAAGATGAACGTTGCCTCACTTCGATCACAGGAGAATCAGAGTACCAGCACTGAAATGAAGCTGGCCAAGGTAGCCCTGGTCACCATCTCACTGTGGTTCATGGCATGGACTCCGTATCTGATCATCAACTACACCGGTATCTTCAAGACTGCCCCAATCACCCCACTGGCCACCATCTGGGGATCGTTGTTTGCCAAGGCTAACGCCGTCTACAACCCGATTGTATACGGCATTAGTCATCCGAAATACCGTGCGGCTCTGTACCAGAAGTTCCCAGGACTGTCCTGTACAGATTCCACCGACGACAGCAAATCAGTGAATTCTGGCACTACGACCATGATCACAGAAGAAAAGCCATCAGCCTAAATTGCCATCAGCATATTCCTAGGTTCAGGAATTTTTAAACGAAACATTGTAAAGATCTCACTAGAGTTTCTTTCGTTAGGTTTTAGTTTATATTATTTAATAAATAAAGCAAGATCTCTTTTAAAACAAAGAGCAAAAATAAATTGAATGTTTAACATCTGACGGGTTTAAGCCAAATGCTACACAAATCACAACAACGCCTTGGAACTCACTTTCTGATACTGCTATTTATCCTTCTTTGCTAAGGGACGAGCCAGGCGTAGTGGTTAGCATCCTTGCCTTTCACAGTAAAGGTCACTAGTTCAAATCTCATTCCCGGACAAGTTACGGATGGCCTAAAATGTGATGAAGAAAATTAAAATACATCCTCGCACCTAATGGGGTCAATACACACTGGCTTTACAACCTGGTCAGGTTGGTACACGCTTGAATTGTGTGTAGGGTGGTTAAGAACTGTTAAGTATATAAAACGGACACTCTCTTTCAGCAACATCTTTTTTGTTCGTCTACTTAACTTGATGCTTTCTTGCGCAAGTATGAAGGTCTGCTTATAAGCAATATTGAAAAAATAATACACAATATATTTGAAATAGCATGCAATTTTAACGACATGTTAAATAACATGTACTCTAAAATGCAATATATTTTCTCACGACATATCATACTAGAACACCTGATTGAAGTTGGTTTTGCTTGTGAACGGACGTCAAGTTTAGCTTCCATAATTTGGTTTTTGATCCGGTTAAAATTTTCTTATTCGGCCGAGCATACGATTGCCAGTTTCAAATAGTGCGGAATTCAATCATTAGTGGAAATATGGTGAAATTATAACAGTAACTCAACGAATTCCCAAAGATATACTAAGTCTACGTCCCTGTCAATTACACGCAGCTTATGAACCGATCATCAAAACACCCACCGACCCACGATGTCCCAATTACATTTGTTACATTGCTTTAATGGGCAGTTTATTAGACGGCAGAGCCAAACCTCCAGAGCACAACAGCAAGAGATTAGAATTAGTGTTTGGTAGATCTTACACTACTGTAAGGCACCTTCGAAAAGTGAACTATCCACGTTAAAGGCCCACGCACATTAGATCCGGATCGGACGCGTTGCGGCAAAGTGACAGCTCAACGCAACGCAAACGAATCTAATATGGGTGACCTTTAAGGGTTTAATAACAAATATTATAGTATTAAGTCTGGTCAAGTAAACCTAAAGCAAGCTGACAAGGCATTTAGTATGAACATGAACTAATTCGGTTTATCTGTCTGGTAGATCTTGTATGAAGGTCCCATATGTGTTTTTGTCAGAAATTAGTTAACCATTAGAATCGATTGTAAACTACTTCAAATTTACATTGTCCACAAAAGTTCCATGTTTTGTTCAGATAATGTCGTTAAAATTACCAAAACTTGGTTGTCCCATCCATAACAGTGGATAAATATATTTTCAACAGCGTTTTTCTCGGTTTGCTTTACTCTGAGTTCCGTTTTTGCTGCGAGTAACTCAATGTACCTCAAAATTAGCGAAACAATTTTCTAGAATTTGTTCAATGCAGAGTTGTAACAGGTTGTATTGGCTATCAAAAGCACCAGCTAGCGAGTTATTAACAAAAGAGAAAATCGACGAAGAGAATCGAACATCGAGTTTACGCCCTTATGCATGCTCACTGTCGATATATTAGACGTCAGTCTTGTTAAATAAAATTCTCGCGTCACTTTTCAATAGGCCCTTTCTGTATTGATCGATTCTCTTCATCGACGTTCTCTTTGGATCATCACGGCCGTGTCAAGATATTTCCGGATATTTTGGACACCCAGATCGATGGGAAGACGCAACAATCTAGCATCTAATACGACAAAGACGACAGGAAATGTTTTTGTAGTAGAGTTATTTACGAAAGAGAGAGTCGATGAAGAGAATTGAGAATTGAGTGAATGTAGATTGGTCTATTTGAAATCGAAGTAGGTAACCTGAATGACACGACGAGAGCGGGATGATCAGCATCTAGACTGATCAGTGGCCGGTAATGCAAACGTCCATTTCGGTTAGGAAAAGTGTTTACTTGACTAAACCCGTGTAAGTAAAATCCGTCCAAAAGAGTACAGCAAGCCACCGGCATATGCAATAGCAGTGAGTCAATGAATGGTGTGCCGTAGTTGGTAAAGCGCCACTGTAAACCAGCTTGGTTGTAGTCGCAAATGGTAGTGTGGGAGATCGGGGACTCAATCGAGACCTAACTATGGTGCTCACGGATGATGTTTTGTGGAAATTTCACGACAATGCAGAGCTGTTCCAGCAGACTGGAAATGGACGAGGTACTAAGGTAGCTGGTTAGTCTAGTTGAGACAGCAGTCAGAACGCCTCCATCGCGCGATCTTTGACTGTGCAGGGGAGATCGGTCACTTGAAGACGGAATAAAGTGATCCGAAGTTGCGATGCATAGATCCGGTCATTCAGTCCCGTTTCCGTCAGTACAAATAAATCATATTCAACCTCCTCAACAGCTAAGAAACACGAGTCGATTTTAGTCCTCAGCCCACGTACGTTTTGATTTTTTTTTTATTCGTGGGCCATTCGAGGAGTGATCCCGGGAGCTGGACACCGTAGGAAATTTAGGACCGAAAGTTCAGAATCGCAACCATACTCGCCTGGAGTTGTAGGCCGGAAGTCCCGATTTTTGTTGTTGTTTTGCTTGATAACAGCTTTTAGACTTCGCACCTTCATATGTTGCTCACTGAGCAATGTGAGTTACTCGAGGTGCCTCAAAAGCAACTCTGAAATTTCTCATGATTAGGAGCTGTCTTGCCCCCTGGTTTGCTGTTCTTTCAGACGGGACTGATATGCTTTTATGCGTAGTATAGTGGGGGCACATATATGTTAAGTTTTCCAACGTTCCGGTCCTTATTGGACCTCCTTCAGGGACCGACATGTGGGTATTTTCACTGTATTGGCCTGCAGAGCAACAACGAAACGTACGGTACGAGATGCCTTCGTATCATCCATTTATCGGATTCAGAAGCATCGTGTCTACATCTCCAGTTTAAACAGACCCGATGCTTCTGAAGTATCTTGCCCCTTAACTGCCACACAGTAGGCCTGGCCATTTTGATGTGCTTTGAGCATCTATGATGTGTAACATGTATTCAATAGACAAGAAAAATTATTGAGGTATATCCATCATTTTTCAGAATGCTTTCAAGAACTGGCTGTGTTTGTGTTAGATTAGATTAGATTAGATTATAATGTTTTAAAGACAAGGATTTCATCCTGTATTCATACAAAAAAAACATGTTCAATTAAACAACAAGTGCCACCGAAATTCTTTCCGTGGAATGCAGAAATCACATGACATTTTTCATAAATAGATATGAGTTTGTATACAAGAAATGTTATGAATAAAAATTTATAAGTAGCATAGCATAGCATAAACCAGGTTGCACAATGTCGTAGGTGGTACGAGCTCCAAACTGTTGTTAAGAAGGAGACCCACCTTCATCCAATTTGTAATTAATTACTACCTCTTAGATAAAGGATGTGTCTCCCTACAACAGACCAGAGCTGTCCTGGCCACGTCCTTGCATCTGGTGGGGAAAGGGGAGGAATATTAGTCCGACATTTACTTAAGAGAAATGCAGAGAACTCTACGACCCCTCATAAGTGTCACGGGAAGAGTGGATATTTGTTAGTAGGAAGGGTAAGCCATAGGATACGCCCAGCCGGCGTTGCTGGCAATCGTTATATCAAACATTTAATAAATAGAAGCTGGTAGTAGTTTATCTGTCCGTTGTTGCTGCCCATTACCTAAACATATTATTCAAAACTTCATATTTTGGAATTAAGAAACGTTAGCAGCTCGATCGTGTTGCTCCTTTGCGCCTGAAAATGTTTGTTGATCCTAAACAGATGCACAATTCATTCTGATCGATAGGAGGTTTTCATGTGAGGTTATTAATATTATGTGGAATCATAAATTAGAATGAAGATTCGCCCTTGGCCTAACTCTCACTATCTGGCAGTGACATTATGGATAAAATCTGCCTGCAATAATTTCTTATGTAGGCAAGAAGCTTGAACCCGGGAGTTAGAAGGTGACAGCTCTACCGCAGCTACAATAGCTCATTTGAAGAACGCAAGCATTCCGAAGCTATTTTCAAACATGATAAGCCCCGCTCCAATACATTATCGATGCCAATATACACCATTGATAATGTACTGAAACTTTCAATCAAGCAGTAGTGCAATACTTGATTGACGCGTATTTAGTAAGTTTTGGAATGATCGTTTTTAATTAGATGGATATTTCCTATCGAGGACAGAGGAACGAAAAGGTATATAAACTTAGCTGAGCGTAACTACGCGTAGGTTAGAACAGTCGGCACCACATGCAACGGATAAGAATTTGAAAAATTTTACTTAATGCACTTTTCAACAACACTTCTGTTCTTTCAAATTAACACTTTTTAAAAAAGAAATTGTAAATTTATAGCATTTTCACTAGAACGAAAACGACGCAGCAAAACAAAAACACGTCATTTTTGCAGCACGGCCTACTTCGATCATCTGTTATGAATAAAAATTTATAAGTATATAAATTATAGGTTATAAATCTTAAGAAAGAAACTGCCATGATTGATCAATCAATTTCAATTATTTTAGGTCACGAGATAGAATTATTTCTAGATTTTTATTTATTGCAACATAGTCATACCCACCCCCAACCGGAAAATGTAAGATTCTACCTACTATAGATTTGCATAAAAACATGCAGAATTTGAAATGTTTCACCGCATGGACAGATTCTGTAATGTGGTCGTCGAAAGGTTTTTTAAATAATTTAATAATTTTTCGACCAAAGTTTGTTCTAAGAAAAATGCAAAGGATGTAAAAAATCCAACCTTACATTTGATGTTCATGCCATTTGTGTGCATTTACAAATTTAGTCTATATTTTCTAGAGCAGCTAAGTTTACAGTCATCGATATATCGTTCCGTTTTTCATTCC